GGGGGCAAGGGAGGAAACGAGATATCTGTAATACTCTCAACAATAAAGATTTTTTAAACGTATATGATGACTCCTCACTTAGGAACCTAAATACACCCTCATTTTTTAAAAAGCTTTTTATTGTGGAAAATATCAAATACCCACAGAAATACTGACACTTTAGTAGCAATTCAGGTTCAGGAACCTCTTCCTAGGCAGCACACCCATCCTTCGGGGGCCCCTGCATCTATGTGGTCCTTCCAGTGACGTGACCCTTGACCAGCAGGTTCAGGTGTGATCCCCTCGTCCATTGGCCTGTCTCATGGTTTTTTACAGCCACAGTGATTGCCTGGATCTGACCCTTCCTCAGCTATTGCCAGCAAGTGATTTCTAGAACGCTGCTGTTCTCTGTGCAGTTATTAGCTGGACTTCCATAAAGGACTCTTCCTCAAATACCTCGGGATTTGTTCCCCTGCAACACCCCTGGGGCTGGAAGAGCAGGAAAATGCATTTCCCCCTTTGTCAGTTTGCAGAATAATCACCTAGCATCCCAGCAATGGCCAGTGGGGACCAGGGGCACTTTTTTCTTTTTTCTTTTTTAGCTTCCTAATAAACTCTTAAATTTGTTTCAAACAATCAGTCATGTTTTTGATGCCCAGCTTGTCCCATCTTTGGCCTGAGAATGGCCTCAGGTTGCTTCCTGTGTCCTTTGACACACCCTCTGGTCCTCTGTGCCTTCCTGCTTCCTGGCCACCACGATGGCCCAGGCCCCACCCAGCCATCATCCTAGGACACCCGCTTCCTTGGTGTGGAAGTGGTGTTTAGAGACCCTAATCTGGGCACCTGGTGGTGCTTGTTGCTTCTGGGTTTTCTTTACTTCTAGTGCTTTTGAATGCACAGAGCCAGGAAATATGTTTTTGGGGTTTTTTTTAGTTTTTTTTTTAATCCTTGCCCAAGGATATTCATTCCATTGCTTTTCAGAGAGTGGAAGGAAGAGAGAGAGAAACATGGATTGGTTGCTCCCCTGCATGCCCGGCGGGGCCAGGGATTGAGCCCTTGGCTGGAATCAAACCCAGAATCCTTCAGTCCACAGGCTGACGCTCTAACCACTGAGCCAAACTGGTCAGGGCAGAAATACGTATTTTTTTTACAAAGAAAAAAGTAAATAATGAGATTATACAGATAGTTCCCAATTAAAGTGTAAGATTATAGGATTTTACTTCTCTGAGCTTATATATACAGTGTAGGGCAAAAGTGGGTTTACAGTTGTTTATATGGAAAATAATACAATAATTAGTCATTAAAAATACAAGAATAAACTCTATTTCGTGTACTCACAACTGTAAAGCTATTTTTGCCCACCCTGTGTAAAGAGGTACCAATGGGGAGGTTCACAGAGGTGAAGACACATCTCTGGACCACACAGTTGCTGAGTGGCAGCTCCAGGGTTGGACCTGAGTCTTTCTGGCAGTGTCTGCCTCGTGTGATGTCAATGTAAGCGTTTCGGCCCTCACAGAATGTGCTTCATCCGGGGGAAATTTCTTTTAAGTATTTGCCTAAGTTGGGTGAGTTTTCTACTTTGTCAATCATATAAATTCAGACCTTAGGTCCAGCCTAATTATCCAAATTATCTTACAGACTCTTTGGGAACCCATAGACCCTCCAAGCACCCAATAACAGCCATGGCATCTTCCCACAGAAAAATATGCAAAGCCACAAGTCCAGGCATAGAGTCAGCAGGGGGTCAAGAAGGGCGTTCTGGTCACAGAGAAGCTTCTGCATTAACTAAAGTTACCTTTATGCTAATGAGCAGAGAACACCTGGGGCTCCAACACGGGGACTAGCCTCTTACAGAGAGAAGATGAGGCTCTACACCAGTTTCTTACAGAGAAACCCAGGACTCAACCCATCCTCTGTTGACCCGGGACTCAACCCAGCCTCTGTTGACCCGGGACTCTAACCCAGCCTCTGTTGACCCGGGACTCAACCCAGCCTCTGTTGACCCGGGACTCTACCCCAGCCTCTGTTGACCCGGGACTCTAACCCAGCCTCTGTTGACCCGGGACTCAACCCATCCTCTGTTGACCCGGGACTCTAACCCAGCCTCTGTTGACCCAGGACTCCAACCCAGCTTCTTACACAGAAACCTGGGACTCCAACCCAGCTTCTAGAGTATATCAGACTCTTAAGAATTGAAACCTGTCCCTACCGTGCTTCAGTGGACTGTCACCCAGAGCAGTGGCTCAGGAGTCAGCTCACCAGTGGATTCCCCGTCAGTCAGGAGAGAGGACAGAGTCTTCAGAGGCGCACACTCGGGGGGTGGGGAGAGGTCCGGGGCCCCAGCGATGAACCGGATCCTAGCTGAGTGACGGTGCCGTAACTGTGCAAGAAAAAGGAGAGTAGTAAAAGTGGCAAAACCCAGTTTTACTCAGGACTATGGCAATGATTTAGAGACCTCAGTGTAGACCCACTCTAAGTTCTATAGCGTGTTGGCGAGTGGGAGTTCAGCCAAGGAGCAAGGGGGTCCGTGGGTGGGAAAGTACTAACAGAGCACTTAGGGGTAAGGGACACTCTGGCTGGACTGACCCAGCAGGATCCTTGGGGCAGACGGGCCAGAGTGACAGCCGCCAGGTGACGGCAGAGGAGGAGCCTGGTTAGACACGGAGAGTGATCAGATGGGG